CGAAGTCACTTACGAACCGGATTGCACCAGTCTATGGACGCAGTATCGGTTTTTGGTATCTGGTTCCAAGTACGAATTGTATGGTAATTATATTGGTCATGTATAGGGGTCACTGACTACTGGAGAAAGTACCGTTGATGCGTTGATAGGTTCTAGGTACAACGTACATTGTCCCAGCACACAATACGGATTCAAGATGCAAATGTGTACATATTTTAACTAGCCTGCAGGACAAGTTGGGAAGGGGTTTTTACTAGCCTGCAGCCGTTTTTACTTACAACTGATGCATTTCAAAAATGCAGTGATTAATGTTTCAACTTGGACATGTTTCTTACGGGCTACAACAGGGGCCATACACAATACAGCATGCCACCAGGAGGTTGCCACACAGAGACTTTTCCAAGCTAACAGTTGCAAAAAGCAAGGTCACATTGCCACAATTTGCAATTTTAGCATGCATGTAAGTCAGGAGACAACCTTGGGAAACTTTCGATGGTTTGGGACATTCCATGCAATAAAAAGAGGAAAGAATTAATTAAAAGTGCTACTCAAAATACCAGTCTTCTTCCCTGAGAAACAAACAGGAATAATGTTCTCAGCACACAGCCAGCAAATGATTATATCTACCATTTCCCACAAAACACTGCAAAAAATGACCTATCTGTAGCAAACTCTTGGTGGTGCACTGTATTGTGAATCGCCTGTATTGCGGTATTGCAATCACGCAAGTGCAACAATTTTTGTTATTGATGCTATCATGGACAGCATGCTCATGGCATAGTCTAGGAATGCTCGACAAGAAGCAAATTTCTTGTCATCATTCCTGAGTTGTCTTGTGAATTCAGTCACTAGAACTGTGCATGCACTTTAAACAGGAACGAATATGTGCAACATCCAACTTTCTACCTAACAGACATTTAACTGTTGCTGTCCACTAACTTTGTGTATGAAATTTACATACATCTAAGTGGATATCAGCCTTTACAGACCAATGGACAGCTTCTTGCTCCGGTTGTTTTCTATCCTCCAGAATTCAGGAAAAATCACAATATTTTCACATCTTGGCAGGTTGACTACATTACTCTCTTCCCAAAAGGGGAGGGGTACATGAATTAAGAATACTGTTTATGCATAAAGAAGAATTCCATACTAGGGCATCATTCATTTTCCCCTGCAATGACTTTTTAGCCATCAGAAAGGTTTAACTTCCCTTAAATGCTGAACCCAACAAAGTTATGCAGGATTTCAATGGTCCCTAGGGGGTTAGGGTTTAAAGTCAAATTTAGCTTGGAAAAGATTGAAGCATTTACTAAGGAAACAATTACAATTTTTCAGATATAGCCAGGTATGGAATTCTTTCCCTTATCCAAAGGCATCGGTATCCTAATGCAGGTAACAAGGTAGTGAATTTCAAAATGGACCCTTGGCAACGACAACCACTTCGCAGCTGACAGAAAGGGCACAGAACCAGGCAGAAGTTAATCTGGCACATTTTCATAGCATAATACTTGTGGATCATGGTGATAATGTTTGGAAATCACTGCTTTAGTAACAAACAAGAAATAGGACATTTCCAAGAGAGTAAATTTGCAAATATGTTGTTTAACTTAATGAGTTGGGAATTTCCTGAGTGGTCACACTTTCAAGTTGCCTGGCATTCACTCCATCCCACAGCTTCAAAATTTCTAACTGCGAGAACTATTCCATCATTACTCCACTGGACTTCCACCCAATACAGTTTACATGGAGTCGTAATACTACAGGTATTTTAATCGAACTTGATAAGTGAATGCTACACTGCTTGCACAAAGCTATTCCATCAAATTTTTCTGTGGGAGCAACCTTGAGTAGCCCCGTAGCTCTTAAGGGTGTCAGGAGGGTTTTCAGAGCATAAGACTGAGTATTCTGCCCAAAAAAATGACAATTTTGCTCACTAATTTCTTGGTTCCAGCAACAACGACTGTGCTGTTCATGTTGTTTGTGTTTAATACATTGTGAATGTGTCGGGCCCACCAATGGTCAAGCTTGCGCTGAATCTTGGTTGAACCATTTCCTAAGATCTTGTAATCTTCTACAGTTACACGTCGTGAGTCCCAATGGTATCAGCTTACAGGATGTAAAGATGCAATCCCCTGCCATCAAAAATGGTCGAACCAAGATGCGGCTATTTGTAGGTCCGACACATGCACAATGGAATGAACAGTACGAGCATCATCAGGTGGGACCGAGAAATTGGTAACAATCACATTTTTGTCAAAGAATACTCCATCTCCTGCCCTAAAACCCTCCTGATACCCTTTTTAAGAGCTACAGGCTACTCAAGGTTGCTCTCACAGAAAAATTTGATTGAATAACTTTGTGCAAGCAGTGTAGCATTCACTTATCAAGTT